GCCGCGCCCCCCGCCCCCGCACGAGAGCCCGCGGCAGTATGGCTGGCGGCACGTGGACGCCCAGCTGGGCCCAGCTCGGCGGACCGTTTAGGCCCCCCGTCATGTCGCCCTGTTCCCACGCGTCACTCGCGCTTTGGGCTCTTGGAGCGCCGCCGGAGGTGATCGGCCGGGTGAAAGCCAGCAGACGGCTTCAGTCTTTGTTTGTGGATCCCGCCGTCTGCGGGTCGCGGGGCGGGCCGGCCGCCGCGCGCGCGGGGCCGACTGGCGGCCTACCCGGCAGGCGCTCGGGCCGGCTGGGCTCGCCCTGGAGGCGGGCCACCCATCCGACGACGACGGGGCGACGACGGGGTTTAGAGTGAAGCAGCCTCAGCCTCACCGCGAGGGTCATGTTTAAATTGTCAGGTGTGTGATCTCTCTCCAAGATAAACAAACACTTGGCACGTCGTTTCTCCCAGACCTTTCAGGCCGGGCCGGGCGGCGCCGGGCGGCAGCGCCAGCGCCTCATAGAGCCCAGCCCAGGTCGGGCCGGGGTCAGAGGTCGCAGCGAGGAGCCGGCTGCATATCCTCGCCGCACCCCGCGCCGTCAGTGTTCAAGGAGAGTCCATACATTACCTGGAGGTGCGACGCTGACAAATAGGCCGTCACCTCGGCGGCGCCTCGCGGTCACAGACGAGCAGTCGAGCGGGACGTCTAAACCACTTCGGTTTCAACGTGTATTTTTCGGTCAGTCAAAATTAAATTTTCATTCGACTCGAGTATTAGAAGAGTCCAATATGCCCGACAAAGACCGTCGTCGAGGCCCTCCTGACAAATATTTTCTGGCTGAGTCCGGACACCTGTATGCATATGCCTAATAGGACTCGCATGTCGCTTTCTTTGCTGCTCCGAGACGCGGCGGTAGCACGTCAAAAGGGTCATAAAGTTTGCGTGCGTGTGTGTCTGTGTGTCAACTTGAGACTGACAGAGACGCTTGCCAGGCGGAGAGGCGCGCGCGCGCGCGCGCCCGCTGGGGACGTGGTGACGGCCGTCTCCCAGAAGAAAAAGAAGCCCCTTCATAATGAGATCCATGGTCCATCTGGCTATCCAGCTAGCCGCAGCCATTTCGACGTCGACGGACGGTGACTGTCAGAGAGAAGTCATATTGACGCTTTTCCTTCTCTGGAGTTCTGTACTCCGCTGCCATCGCATTCGTGCGTGATACTCGTCGGCCACAGCTCATTATTCATGAAACAGAAGGTAAATCGCTTATTAGGGTCGATGGCAGAACACCGACCCTTTTCAAAAATTATTTAAATTTCTTGTTGAACACAGTACACCCAAAGGGCTTCTCGTACCGCTTACCCGCGGAGGCTGAGCCTACCAGGTCTGTCTGCGTGCTCGTTACTCATCGCGCAGAGTGAACCCTTCCTCCGGACCTGCCGCCACCTAGCGTTGCCGCGCAGAACGTCTTCACGCGCTTGTCGCGCAGAGGCGCTGAGTCGGCTCTTCTTTTGCACTGAGTCAAACAGGGAGGGAGAGGAGGACGAGCGTATCAAGACGACTCCTAATCCCAGCCACAGTCCTGGAGGGCTGGTAAAGAATTACCCTAGAACGCATTCGTTTGTATGACTCCAATTCGGCGGCGCCTCGGCCGGGCGACACATTCACCCCTTGTGCGCTCAGTGCGTACCCAGCGCACGAGTCAGAGCGCAGGATGGCGCAGGACTTCCCCACCCGGCGGGGGGGGGGGGGGGGCTTGTCGTAATAGCGCTCCAGCGAGGGCCTAAAGGCTCGTATACACTATACGGCGTAGGGGTCGCAGGCGCAGGTCGTGGAAAACTGATTTCAGTTTTTGCTGTTGCTGTGCATGCAAACCTGCAGGTTTTTAGCTGTTTTCCCTGCTGTTTTCGCTCTTCAATGCCTTCCAATGAGTTATGCTGACATGACATATTGGCCGTCGCTACCCCACGATGTCGCTCACGCCTCAACCGACGATCCAAGCCCGCACTACGCCTCCCATTGTAGACGAGCCTTTAGGGTGAGTTGGTGAGGAACCGTCAGGAGCAAGTTGTCGACCCCTCCGTGCCGGGGTGGCTTCCGGACTGGGTTTAACGAGGGTCTGGGATGGGGATAGGGTAGCTAATACACCTAGCCCGAGGTCCGAAGGGTCAGGCCTACCCTCGCGCCCGCTGTCCTAATGGTA